AGAGAGAGAGAGAGAATAAGATTTAGTGTTAGGGTGATGTTGGTTTACTAGAAATATTTCATGGTTTGGCTTCTCACATTTCTTCTGACTAGGAGGACTGGTCTGCTGATATTGCTTCATGGAGAAACTGCAATTTTAATCAAATGGTTTGCCCAAATCCGTAAGTTCTAGAGTTTTATACTATCAATGAGTTGATCTTGCTTTCTTAAGGTACTGTTAATGCCACCATGCATGTGTCACATTGCAAATGAATGCATCCAGACCCACGTACACATAAACGTAACATCTGCATGCATGTGAACTCCATTGTATAAACGCAATTATGTGCATTAGTGTACTCCCATTTGATCTCATACCAATGAAAGCATATATTTAGATACATACTTGTGTAGAATATGCATATGTATTAAAAACTAAAATGCATGCTGAAATCCAGATATATGGATGTAGATGAATGCACATTTTGTCAAATTTCATACCATTATATGCATGCATATGTGCTTGCGTCCATGCAAACACAGAAAAATTGTATCCTGTTATTTCATGTGCAAATTTTGTTTAACTGCATCTACATTTATATTATTCAGAGTAGAAAAAAGTATCAAATTGCTTTCTGGAAGTAATTCTCTTCTGGTTTTAGTGGTAAGAGATGATTGGATGTTATTATCACATAACTTTTCAATGATGGAATTTGATGGGAGGAAATCTGAAATTTTTGTAAACTCATTTATTGTTCAAATATCCCTCATTCACTTCTGTCTTGTTATTAACTGGAATTTGTTGTGTTTTTTGAGACTGAATTTTTATTGAGATTCTTGGATGACCTTAACTTCATTATAAAAAAAAGTGTACAACTTGTTTCTGTTACACTGCTTAATGCATTATCCATTCCTTTATGGTAGGGTACTTTGTAGTATGTCATGACACATTTTTTTTTAAGGAGAAGCAACTTAAAGCTCTGGAGTGGAGAAAAACACCACGGTGCCTTTTATTTTTCTGTGTAGTTTTCTTAAATTTTATTTTATGTATTTCTTTTGTAATTTTTTCCATCTTCAGTTTGTCTAATACTGTGATTGTGTCCCAGACACTAGGTTAATAGGTGGGGATTCACTGCACAAATAACTAGCCATAACTGAAAACGATAGTTTCGGCCTGTTTTCTCAGGTATGCATCTGAAAGCATAAAGTTGGCATGCAAGTTCGCTTATAGGAATGCCACTCCTGGGACTACACTTAGAGGTACATACTCATTTGCTCTTACACTGACTGATAGCCTATATACAATCTAGTAGTCTTATATGACAGTTATATGAAGGAGGCAAGTGGTTTGAAGTTTGCATTAGCATGTTAGCCCATACGAGATATGCTTATATACCAAAAGAAATAAAATAACCATGTGGAACGAAGTATGAGGCCTGATCCTACATGAAACGTGTAGGGCACTACTCTCCAGTCCATGGCCTTCTTAGGTGGTGGAGATGAACTGTAACTCATTGTGTTGGACAATTGCAGAACTTTTGTGGAGTCACGCATCATCTCCATCATCCTTAGTAGGCAGCTGATAGTGGAGATTGGGGTCCGACACGTTTTATGTAGGACTGGCCCCATATGAGATTTTTTAAGAAAAATGGAAAATCTTTCTCCTTAGTCTTTGGTTTCTAACCTTCTCCAAGAACTTTGTCTTCCATCTTCCATTCTTTAAACGATCAATTAGAACAGAAGATCAGGCTAAAATATTCAATTTAACTGCCAATAGGGCTGGCAATGGTCCCGGTGGCCCAGCTCGGTCGGCCTGGACCTAAAAAGGTAGGGCCTGGGCCACAGTTTGCCAGTGCCAGTCTGGTTTGGGCCCTCTTTTTTTCTCAGTTTTTCTTTTATTTTTCCTTTATTTGTTAGTGGCCCTGCCCGGCTCGCCCTAACAGGGCCAGGACTGGCCCTATGGCGACAAGGGCTGGGCCAGGGCCAGGGCCAGGGCCAGGGCCAGGGCCAAGGCCTGCCCTACCGAGGCCCGGCCCATGGCCATCCTTAACTGCCAACTTATACTCACCCCTAAGATTAGTTTAGAATGCTTTGTTTTTCCAGCAAGTTTTAGTTCTTTTTCCATCAATTAAAGGATATAAATTGGAAATCAAGTTGTTTCTTGTTTCCTATTTCTTGTTGGGATTGTAATTGTGGGGCTTGAGATGTAGCGCTCCATGCTAGTATTTGCTGGAGCATAATCTAGGATGTGATGTTCATTTGATAAGAATTAGTTTGTTATTTTGTACAAACTATTCAAATGAAGGCACTTTAGTTAATGGAAGGGTTATAAAAAGGATTTCTTGGGTTGAGAATTTTGCAAATAGTTTATGGGCTGTACTGGTTTTTTGGTGTGTGAAAGTAAATAATCTGTACACCTTAAATATAACAGATTTTTCCATTTTTCAATCTCAAGAAATTACAAAAGGATATTTGACTTGACCTATTATTAGTATTATTTTTTAAACAAAGTCTGATTAAATGTATGCAAAAATTTCAATCTCAAGAAATTAGAAAAGGATATTTAGCTTATATTGCATGGTTGTCTCCCTTATTATTTCCCCTAACTTATTTTCATCTTTTATTTTTAAATAAGGTCTGATTAAATATATGCAAAAGTATGTCATGATGCATGTACCATACTGTTCAGTTTGATACATGTAACATCAGCTGTCCTTTGTCATCATTGATGGACAAGAATCATTAACATCAGCCATTGAGTGTCGACAATGAAGGCTGATAGTTAATATTTGAGGCTGTTACATGCAACATGATACAATTTGCCCAAATGTGATCTTTTTAGAATGTTGAAGTATACGTCTACAACGAAAATGTATTTCATAAGCTAATAAAACTGAAGTTCTAAAATGTGCAAGGAGTTTATAGAATCTAAGTGTATCTTTTAATTTTGAATTAGTATATTCCTTATTACAGGTTATTTTTGTAATTTCTTCTAGTTTTAATGTGGATGATTTCCCTATAATTGTTTGAAGGAAACAAAAACTGTAAAAAGCCTACACCTCAGCTGGAAGCCACTTAACCAGTTGACCTACCCAAGATCCAATGAACATCGATTGGTGCAAAGAGAGTTTGTGTGTGTATGTGTGAACTTCACAATTTGAAAGGTGCAAAGGGTGTTTATACTGTGCTTGTGTGGTGTGCACGCATGCGATGCGATGCTTTTCTGCCTCCCCCCGCCCTCTTCTCTCTCTGTTAACCTAACTATGGTGCTTCATGTCCTTGTTAAGGCCTTGACCGGTCACAACACTCATTACACCTGGTTTAGATGAGCGAGGCAAAGACCCTTTTGGGCGATGAAATTTTAGGGATTCATGAAATTTTAAGGACGCTGCTGTTTCTTTCATCTATCCATTTAAGTGGGCCAAAACGTCCCAGCTCGATGAATAGCAGCAGTAAGGGTGACGTTTGTGTAAGGCATCAACCTTAGACAATCAAAGTAAGATCACCTCACAACTATACATAACAACTTTGGTGCCGAAAGCTTTGTGATAGCAACGAAAATGTATTTCAATCCCTAATTATGAAATTTAAAGCTCTAAAAATGATGCAGATTGAGCAGATTTATAATAACTACAATGTTTAAAAATAAATTGTCTAGATATTGTGATACAAGATGTATATTTTTTATTATTTAAAACCTTTTTTGCCACATCCATACGTGTCTAGGTCAAGTGGTCAATATGAGAGTTTATAGCATCAAAATTAACTTTTTTTTGATGGATTTTTGATGTGTGCCTCACTTCGATTCCTTATATAATTTTATTTTATTTAAATTCTACATATAAACAAATGGTTGCAAGAATGCCTTCAATACCAGAAAGATCTTTTTTTTTTCAGCTACTCAAAAAAAAGAAAAAAAAAGAAGGTGCAGCATCTTAGGATGGGTAATCAAGATAGGCATTGGCTATTTCTTCGATAAAACAATTATAAGTCGATCTCCCCTTTTCCTGATTATTGTTATTCTATTGTACCATACATGGGACTTTTGTTGCTACACCTCTCAATAGGAAAAAGAGAGATGGAAATGTGGTTGTAAATTGTCGATTTGGGTTTCGTATGGTAAATTTATGCGTCATATTATTGTCGGTATCGTTATCCGTTCACGAATCTGAAACATGCTTTATCCTATTTCATTTCTTAAGTTGCACCTCTCTCTCTCTCTAACTATCTTTAAGGTTTCAGTTCTTAGGGCACAAATCTTTTCTTTAGCTCACCCAAATGAACATCAGTCTGTGTCATTTGGGCCCCCTAAACCCTGTAGATAAATGAAATCAGCCCCAATCCTATAATCGTTGAATTACCATAAGATTGCTAAGCATCTTAAAATCTCAGGCGATTTCTCCGTAAAGAGCAATGTGGGACCCATCCTATGCTTAAATACTTAGGAAAGCTACTTAACCCCCGGCTTAGTTGACTAACCTGGCATTTGTAGCCTGTGAATGTAATTAAGACCGGGGTTTGTAATTATACGCTTATACCCAAATATTTCTGACTTCCACATTCGTAAAACGAAGGGACAATCTCGATTGAAATTTTTGGTAATCTAGCACAAAAGTGCCTTTTATTTACAAACATGGTGAAAACAAAAATATTCCTTTTTTTTTACCCATGGTTGGCACAATGCTGTAGTGCTGAATTGATTAGTTCTTTTCTTAAGTTGGCTTGGTATTTCAAGTGCTAAACCGTCTTTCGTTCATTTTCCAAATTTATTTTACTCATTACTTATTGAACCCTCCAAATGCTAAACCAACATTGGTTCATTTTTAAATTTTTCTTGCTCTAGATGCAAAGAAAAAGAGTGCCAAGGGATTTGGTGTGAAAGAAGTAAATGTTTCTATACGTCCCCTATTGCATAGAAGATGTATGCTTTCTCTATCTAGTTGTTCAATTTACCCTCAAAGTATTTTTTTTTAATTTTTTCTATGAATCACTAAAAAAGTTGACTCGGTGGAACTCACTTAGCTGACTCGAGATGCTGTGAGCTGGCTCATTCCGGTCCATGTTAGAAGCATTTGGCTGAGTCTTTAGAGCACGATAAGGAACTATACTAAACCTGTAATATATAGTCCTTGATTTATGGGAAACAACATGCACATCATTACTTTTTCTAATCTTTTTCTTATTCTGTGTGACTCTGTAGACGAGTACTTTGTCTCTCGCCTACCGATTGTGGAGAAGAGACTGGCCCAAGGTGGGGTCCGCTTGGCTGCAACCCTCAATCGGATCTTCACTGTCCAATCCATCAAACTACCAATCTCGTAAAACCCTTAATTTCCCTATAAACGTAGTTCAGGTGATCAGGACTTTCAATGGGTTTGCCCACACGCTACAACTATGCACACCTAACAGTCGACCTTGCTATTTACACAAGTCTTCTAAGACAAGAAACACTAGGGAATAAGAAATATATTCCTAGTTTTATGTCCTTTTATTACTATATGTATATATATTACTAGCCTTGAACGTTTGAAACTCTTCAGTTGTAACAGACTTGATGACTTGCACTCAATGAAGAACTGAGCTTTCAATGGAGAGTTATCTTGTAAATGAAATAATTGACACAATGGAACCTTGGAAACTGTTTCTTCGCTTCTTGTATATAAATGATGCTATGGAGGTGCTTTTCGCGTTTTATTGTTGGTGGTGCAATAATGGGTGGGATTAGAGTTTTCTCGCAGGAATTCTTGTTATTGATGACGCTTCTCGTTTATGTGGCGCCTGGGGCTCACTCCTGGAGCAAAGAAGGTCATGTTATGACTTGCCGGATCGCGCAGGTTCTCTCTCTCTCTCTCACAGACACAACCCTACTAATGCTACTTTATGTTAGCAGCATTTAGTGTCACATCATGATAGGCAGCATCTCTTTCTCTTTGTTGCATTGTATGCAGCTCTTTGTCCTAACTCGTTTTGCAGTTTCAAAACTAACAATTGTGATTAAGGATTCATTTAAGCTTATGAGAGTACCAACGCATAGATTTTAATTAACTTGGCTTGTGTTTCATAATCTTAATTAAGGGACAAGAATACTGTTATATTTTATTAGTGGCATTCATTCGAAATATATTTTCTTTACTTAAAATGTATCGTTTTGTTAATTATTAATTCTTCTCAATACTCAATTTGCTTTAGAGACTTTATTTTGTGGCTTGTCTTTTGGCTCACTGATATGGCATGCAAAGTCTCGTGGATACGATGCTATGTCCGAATCTGGACCGAGTGGTGTTGATTTCTTGCTCGTGTGCCCGTCATTTTCCAGGCTCTTTTGGACCCTAAAGCAGCTGATGCAGTTCAGAATTTGCTGCCAGATTATGTCAATGGAGACCTCTCAGCTCTCTGCACATGGCCAGATCAGATTAGGCACTGGTATAAGTACAGATGGACCAGCTCCCTGCACTTCATTGACACCCCAGATGAGTCTTGTAGCTTTGAATATTCAAGTAATTTCTTTTCTAACTTCTGCATTTATTTGTTCTTTCCTTTTTAAACCATTAGTCACTTCATTCGTTCATTTCTCTTGGGGTAAATCTCAGTTTTTACCCCTTGATTTTATCTTCTCATCGTAGCATAGCATGCTTTTTTTCTTTTTTTTTTTCTTAATCATCTTCATTCAACCATAAAATATGCAGATTCTCTCTCTCTCTCTCTCTCTCTCGATATATATATATATATATTTTTCTTCTTCTTTTGGCACAGGAAATTTGCAGCATCTCAAATTTTAGTATGTTTATTATTACTAGTGCCATCATCGTCATCATCACTGTTATCGTAACTAGCTCCGTTATAGGTCAGAGTCTCATAATCTTACTCAAGCCAAACATTGCTGAGCCCGTGGAATTCTCTGTTGGTTTTGTAGGGGATTGCCATGACCAGCATGGAAAGAAGAACATGTGCGTGGCCGGTGCCATCCAGAACTTTACGTCTCAGCTAGCTCACTACAAAGAGGGATCCTCTGATCGCCGACGTATGAATTTTGCTTCAGTCTTCAAGATCTGATTTCTTTCTTTTGTCTATATGGAAAATATCTAATTTCAGTGTTCCATTTACCAAGCACTTCATTTCTTCCCTTTTTCTTTTCGTTATAATTTTTACAGGTGACTAAATCTTCTATTTTCCTGTTTTACAGATAATATGACGGAAGCCCTTTTGTTTTTATCCCATTTCATGGGAGATGTCCATCAGGTCTTCTTCAAGCCACAGCTGCATAAGTTGTTTTCTTGCTTCTGATTATAGGGTTAGTTGTTTTCTTTTTTGTAATTTGCTTTAATTGTTGCCAATTTATTCATTCTTGCAGCCTTTACATGTTGGGTTTACAAGCGATGAAGGTGGAAACACTATCGAATTGCGTTGGTTCAAACACAAATCTAATCTGCATCATGTATGTAATCTATCCGATCCATCTGATTTAAACTATATAACATTCCTGGTTTTAGCTTCGATGTCAACCTACACTGAAATGGAGCTGAAGTTTCGCAAAACTTTTGTTCCTGAGACCCCTGGTGCTATCCTTTTCTTCTACAGGTATGGGACAGGGAGATAATACTCACTGCAATTAAGGAGCTTTATGACAAAGACATGGAACTCTTCCAAGAAAGCATTCAGAAAAATATCACTGATGTGTGTAGTACATTTCTTAACAATGTTTTCAATTTATTTCTAAACGAAAAATAGACTCTAATAATATGGGATACCATAGTTGAATGGGGATATCGCTGTTCAATGGAATTACAGAGAGAGAGAGGATTCCGATGACGGATCCAACTCTCTCGGAACCACCACATCATTACATTGGACAGAGATGACCCAAATGCACAACAGTTTTCCATTGTCCTTGCATGGAGTATACCGTTTTTTCCTTTTTTTTGGGCAAATAGCGTCATACTTTTTGTTGATGTAAGGAATTACATGAGCTTACAAGAAGGAAATTACATCACTAGACACCAATCACGGTAACGACGCACCACCTCGTGCAAGAGCATCAACTGCCTCATTGGATTCTCTATAAAAATGATGAAATGAAAAACTTAAAGATCTCACCAAATCTAGAACTTGAATCCAAAGAGATTTCAGTTGTCTAAGGGTTTTTTTCTTTCTTATTACACCACCTTATTACATTCAAGGAATTACCTTGGACAACACAAAAGACCCCCAATATTTTTTTCTACAAAGAGCCTAAGCCCCTGAAGAAGGGCTGCATATTCTGCAAAGTTGGCAGAGACAATACCAATGTGATCAGCATAGGAAAATGACATTGCCATTCTAGTCTCTCATAATGCCCCCAATACCCACTTGACTAGGGTTACCAAGTGAGTTTCCATCAAAATTCAGCTTAAAACAACCCTGAATAGGAGGAACCCAACGACCCTTAGGTCGACATCTAACAATGACATTTGTTTCTGAAACACCCAAAACTAGTACCAAAGTGTGTGACTAACATGAGCCACAACTCTGTCAAAGGGTAAAGCAATCCCTTCAAAGGTTATTCGATTTTGCTCTTACCACATCTCCCACATGATCGCACCTCTTAAGACTTTCCAAATCACTTTTCCGCCCTTAAGAAGGCATGGGAAAGCAAGTTCAGACACAATACCAAAAAACAGATCGAGGTAAAGCCAAAATCACCCTAATAAGCCCCAAATAGTTTTGCCATGAACAATGCACAAATAAGTGTGCTATTCATTCTTCATCACTTTTGCACATCAAGTAAATATTTGGTAGAAATTTTTCTCTCTTAATCAAATTATCAATAGTTAGGATCTTATGTTGAACTGCCAACCAAATAAAGACCTGTACCTTGTGGGGAATGGGCCACTTGCAAATATTTGCAATTTGAGGTAAAGACCAACACCATCGATCAATAAAAAGAAGTCTATAAATTGACTTCACACAAATACTGCCCTGATACCACCCCCCACCCTAACTCATCTTCCGTAATACAAGAGAGGTACACCTGCTCAAGCTCTGCCATCAAGCCGCTATATCTCAAATACATGTCCTCATCTATTGTATGGAAAATTGAAAATTTACTGACCAGACCACACTATTTCTTTTAACTTCAAAAAGATAAGCCGCCTTTGCATTAGAAGCAAAACCTAATTAAAGATTTCAGGATAGGTGATTTTTAAAAGCCTCTCTCTCTCTTAGCCATTTGTGATGCCAAAAGGATACCTGACTACCCATTCCAACACACCAGAGAAGATTCCTTACAAACGGCGGCTTGCATAAAAAAATCAAATTCCAATCCACGGACCATATATATCTAAACCATACTTTGCAGATACAGATGGTCTTTAAGCTGCAAACTACTCTACCACCATTTACATAATGCAACCTTATTAACCAGCCTTATTTTCTTAATTCCCAAACTACTTTTACCTTTCGTAGTACACACCTTATCTCACCGGATAAGATGGTATTTTAGATCCTCTCCATATGATCCCCATAAGAGGTTCCTCATCATAGTTTCGATTTTTATTGCAACTACAGTAGACATCTGTAAGAGAGATTTGATAAACTGAGAGATTTGCCAAACTTCAACTCAAAAGAGTAACTCTTCCTCTTAAAGAGAAATATTTGGATTTCCAAATATCTAATTTAAACTGAATCCTCTTAATCACCTTATCCCAAACCGAAATAGATAGCATAGAATAAAAAACCGACAACCCCATATAGGTAATTGGGAAAACATCTACCTTACAACCCAACAAACTCCTTCACCAAAGACACTCCACATCCCACACCAATTAAGGACGTCTTCCAAAATTTACCTTTATGCCCAATGCAACTTCACAACATCTTAAAAATCTTACCAACTTGTGCTGTGCCAGCCTCACAAAAATGAGTGTTTCATGAATATATTGCAGAAGCGACACAAATGGACCCTCATTAGCTACTTTGAAACCCACGAAATTTCCTCCTTTCAACATTTTGAAGCATGAGACTAAAACATTCTGTATAAATAGTAAACAAAAAATGTGATAATCATCTAGAAGCTCTAAAAAATCCATTTGTGCTACCATAAAAAATATTTGAGAAATTAGCTAAAGATTGGAGTATACTTTTCTGTAACCAATTTAAAATACTCACATTTTGAATGCATAGAAATTCTTACATTTTGTAATTAAACAGGGGGCATGGTTGGATGAACTATCGTTCTGGGAGGAGTGCCATGATCATTTCTCCTGCCCGAAAAAGTAAGTGCACCCCAAATGTCAACCCTTGAAAGCGAATTGAGTCGCTTAAAATCAAAACCACGCATTTTATCACACTTCACAAATCGTATAAAAATTCCAATAGAATCCGAGGGTTAGCAAGAAATTGATTTTAGTTTTATGTCTGATGCTAATCATGGTTATCCCCTCCTCTCTCTCTCTCTCCCCTAAAGATACGCTACAGAGAGTATAAGCATCGCCTGCAAATGGGGTTATAAAGATGTCACGCCTGGTGCAGTTCTTGCAGGTAAATCATCCAACACATCCAAATTCCGTATTCAGAGTGGTGATTAAACCAGTACGACTCGCATCGATCATCACCTTTTTGTTTCGTTTCTTTCGTACTGATTGTTTTTTTGATTTGTTTTGTAATTACACAGATGATTACTTTAGTTCGAGGCTGCCCATCATTGAGAAACGAATTGCTCAGGGCGGGGTCAGGTTGGCCATGACTCTGAACCGATTATTTGGTGAACACAACACCGGAAATATGGCAGCAACCTGAATTCCACCATGGAGAATGCTAATTCATGTCATTTTTTTCTGTATGATGGCACATAACTAATTGTTATTGCTGACAATCATCATTGTCCTTTTCCTGTTGACAATACAGTCAACAAATTATGGGATTGACAATCCTGTTCTAGTAAATGGTATGCAATGATCGTCACGAAAGCCGATTGGTGAACAAAAACTTACTTAATTCTACTAGTGAGCCTGCAGGAAATAGCTCAACAAGCTGAGAGATGAACTCTTACCAGAACATAATATACATTCATTCCCTTGGATGAAATCCTAGCTAGGATTGTTTTAAGGATCCCAATTTTTTCGGTGGAAGGGGGGGGGGAAGGGGGGGAGGTTTATAACCTCAACCTACTAACAAACCTTAAAAAAGAAAATGATATGCATGCTGTATATGCCTGAAAAGATAATAACATCCTAAGATTGAACAATACCATCAAAATTATATCCAAGTACTTAGGTGCTTGAAATCTGACTTTTCCCCCCTAAAATTGATTATCTCATGATTCTAAAGTGGATCCAAGAACTTCATGTCAAAATCCTTTTAAGGTCTTAACCCCAAGGGGACACAAGCTCTTAAATGTAATCCTGTGCCCGAGAATCAACTGGAGCTTGAGATTGGATTGCTTCATGCAGCAATAAAACATGAAAGGTGGTTGTGATGTAGGGCTGCAATGCAGCGTCCAAGGTACTTCATCTGAGAAATCAAATGGTAAACCAGCATAGAAGTAATATCATGTATAATTGGTAGGATCTTCTCACAAACTAATAATTAATGTCACAAGAATCACCTTGGCCAAGGCACTCCTTTGGTGGAGGCGAGTTACTCTGGTGAGTTCAAGTGACTTGCCCGAGTACTTAATAGAGCAAAAAAGCCCAAGAAAATTTTTAAAAATAATAAAATACGAAAAATAAAATAAATGTAGTAAGCATAAAATAAAACCAAAATTACATTGGAAAGTCCAAATGAACTTAAAAAAGTATAGAAAAAATAGTTTAAAAAAATGATTTATGGTTGAGGAAATTTTAAAAAAGTCCAAACAAAGAAATTATAAAAATAGAGATTATGGCAAAACCAATATTCATCAAAAACATCCCACTTATATATAAAAAAAATTACATAATTTGCACCCATTTTTACTATTTTTAGGATTTTTTTTTAAATTTCTTGTATGTACCTCAACTTGTACAAATAATTTGAGGCTACTCGGCAACAAGTCCTGTATTTCTGCTAATAATGGTTGAAAATTAGATAGAAAAGATCAAGGACCCCCAACATGTTTGTTGCCATGTCAAGAGATACATTATCGCTATTAAAGAAAAGTGACATAAAATAAATGTAGGCAAAAATCAATTAAAAGGCTAAATTATTTTTAACAAATTATTAAAAATGCCTAATTATTTTATTTAACATTAAGAGAGAACTTTTTAAGTTTCATTTCACTAAAGTACTTCTTGAAATATAATAATAAGCCTGCCCCAATTCAATCTTAGAGCCTTGGACCAGTAAAGCATTAGGTAATTTAGTCGCAGTTATTGGCAACTACAAAAATACACGGAAAGAGGTATCATGCATAATTGATAGGATCTTCTCACAAACTGATATTTTGATTCAAAATGAGGGAGAAAAGATTGTTACACTGATATTGGTTGGTTGAGGGCCGGTTTCTACTGACGCCAAACATGATTTCTACACAATTTTGACTAGCTACGACCTCTTCCCCACATGTTCGTTCACATGTTAAAGAGACAAATTGGTGCAATACAATAACGACAAATTTTTTTTTTAAGGGAAAATATTAACTAAAGGGTCAAATTACTTTAAAACATCATGGGAAATTTATGAAATGGTGTAGTTTGTATAAGTTGTCAACATTGCACAATCAAAGTAAGATGATGCCCATCCAAATTTGGTAGGAAGATGAATTTTGGTGCCGAAAACTTTAGGATACCTTGGAAATCTATTTTCACATTTACTTGTGAAATTTCAAACTCTAAAAATGGTGCAAATCGAACAAATCTAAAAACACCTGAAAATCTTAAAAATGGATGCCGGAAATTTTAGCAGATGCGCTATTTTTACGATTTGAAATACTTTTATTTTTCCAATGTCGATACATCTCGAAGTCGAGATCATCAATTGGAATGCTCTCCAATAACCAGAACAACATTTTCAAAAGGACTCTTAAGGTGCTTTTACTTCTACAACACAAAATTGACACCTTATGTAAAAATTTCCTTTATCAAATTACCCATAAAAGAAACAATTGAACACTTTGCTCATATCTTTTAATTTCTTTTCAAAATACCCATAGAAAAACACATGGTCTTGTGTTTGAAAAGTTGCAACCAGTGTAGGAAAAATCAAACCGAAACGGTTAACTTGACATGGAGCTAGAAGTGGTTCAACCAGCCAAACCGGTAAACCGGCTGGTCCAATCAGACTAACCGGGCAAGTCCGGGGTGGTCAAAAAAGTGTTAAAAAATAAAAATACAAAATACAAAAAAATATAATAAAATATAAAAAATATATTTAAAGCATGATTAAACAAAACATATCCAAATGAAGTTGAAAATTAATGGAAAAAATGAATTCTTAAGAATCGGTTTGGGGCGAGAGGTATTTTTGAAATTTTCCAAAAAAGATTGAAAAATGTAAAAATAAGTATTAATAGCCTAAACAATTCCAATCTTTGCCAAAATGATCAAAACATTAAAAAAATATGCATTACAAACAAAATCCCTTATTTTTTTAGGATTTTATATAAATTTTTTTACATTTTGTTTAAAAATACCCGGTCGGTTCACCAAAACGGGCAGAAATCGAAACTGACCAATGGCCGGTTTCGATCTAACCGGGCAGCTAGAATTTGAACTGCCCGATTTTTCCTAAACTGGTTGCAAGTGAGCAAAATATTAAATGCTCAAATTTCTAATAGGTATAGGATAAATTGCCTAAAAATCATTAAAGGCGTCGAATCATTCTTTCTAGCATTAGGATGCAGCTTTTTAAGTTTGAATTAGCTCAGTTAGCCCTTAAAAAGTATAATAAAAAATGACCAAATGGCCTTGCTAAAGATTGTTATCCTGAACACGCAAAAAGCATTTTTGTAGTTTAATCCCACTTCATTGACAAGAAAAAAATATAAAAAACCCTTAGCTATTTAGAGGTTTATAACCGAAAAAGTGAACTTTGCGTCGGTGACCTTGAACAACCCATTGTTCAAGGTTCCTAATCTCGAAGAAGAGCAAGTGGCCATTTTAAATATAATATTTTTTTAGGAAGTACACGAGTGAAATAATACTCAAAATAAAAACCTCCAATGATATTGAGGTAATTTGCCCCTTTCATTAACATTTTCCTTGCAAATTTATTTTGCTCAAATTCTAGGTTTAAATCTATTTTAATACCCCTAAAGAGTCCATCTAAACAGATCCCAAATTAACAAGGAACAAAATGGTAGGAAAGATTTGATTTTCTATGATTATTCCACAAGAGAAACAGAATTTAGTAAATAATAAATTTTTTCTTCCAAAACTGCTCTACAATCTAAAACATTCAACTTGTATTTCAAATAAATGCTCACCAGAAATTCAAATTGTATTTTAAATAAATGCTCACCAGAATGTGCGCATTTTCGAATTTCACTGAGAGTTATGCTGTCGCGAGCTGCCTTTCCCCTGAAAATGACCACCAGCCCTCCCTTGAAAACGTCCACCACCTCGCCTGAATGGTGGCCTCCTCCCCCCATCAGGCCTGGGAGGACTAAAATTAGTATTGCCACCTGCCAAAGGCTGCTGACCAAAAACAAACTGCTGCTGCTCATTATTATTCATAGACATCTGTTGTTGGTTTTGTTGTTGTAATAAGCCCATATTCTGGTGAACTCCACCACCCATCATCCCTGCCTGTAAAAAGTGCGCTTGATTGAACCCCATCTGACCATGCGTGTTTAATGAGCCGAGACCTGGAATTGGGGACCCTGACAGTAGCTGCATCCCCACCATCCAATTCCCATTCAGCAGTTGAGGCTGCTGCTGACCAGGTATGCCACCTGTCCAAACCCCATTGCCCGATGGTCCACATGATCCAGACCCTTGATGATAGTTATGAGGAGGATGATGATCAGGCTGCACACCTGTCATGACCATATTGGCCAGTGGCAGTGGCCCACCTGCCATGCTTGGACCCAACATATATGGGGGCCCCACTGTCACTTGTTGAAAGGGAGTTCCACCCATGCCAGTGATGCAGCCCAATGGGGGAGTGACAAATGGCGCTTGCATAGGGACTGCCACATGAGGAGGTGGGACTGCAGACCCTCGCTCAATCGCTGGTAGTCCTGCCTTTGCAAACCGCTCCTTTATATTGTCTTGGCACTTCTTCTGACCCCTCATTTCCTTGTTTTTGTTCTTCTTTCTATTACTATCGTTGTGGCAGTTGTGGTTGCTTTTGATCGTTTCACCTCTTCTCTTCATGTTTTGGTGGGATCTCTTATATTGCGCCTCCTTTTCATCATCGGAGAATTCCATCTCTTCTGAGTGCTCTTCATCATTCTCACCAGAGGCATCATAACCCTTCTTGTAAAGGTTTTGATCATTCAAGACATGGCTGGCGAATTCCACAACAAAGGAGACAGGGGTGCCTTGGCAGACATTGGAGGGGACTTCGTTGGGGGAGTTGTATCTGACTACATAGTAGGGGTTTTTAACAGGTCCAAAGATTTCGTCAATGAAACCAAGTGGGGAACGGGTGTCAGTTATCCAGAGTATGGAGCCCTCAGTAAGAGGGCTATGCTTTTCCAGGCCCTCCACTATAACTTTGGCATCTAGTATCTGCATGCACACACATATATGGATATGGTTAAATTTGGAAGATGGGTAGAGGCAACTCCACTACCGCACTTTGAATACACTGATACATGCAACTTTTCACACAAAGGTTTTTCTTTTTCTTTGTCCTTTTTTGTTTTGACATGTTAACAGTATAAGAATTCTAATTGTGGCTTAGCCACCCTGATCACCCTGGGCAAGAGCCCCTTCTTCACATAAAGACAACTCTAGAGATAAATATAAGACAGACAAATGCGCAGAGGTTTTCAGCGTAAGTGACATCTTATTTCATGAAAGTATTTGCTGATGCTGCTTTATAGGAAGACAAATGGCAAGTTCCATAATTTTTAAAAGTTGGCTGTCGTTGTGTTCCCTGATAGCCAACCAAAAAATAGTTGGGATAAGGTTCGGATGATGATGATGAAAGTGATGGCTGTCATTGCATTCAATATGGTAAATGGAAATTTGGTTTTCTATGTTTATCCTTCAAATTGGTAACATCATCATTCATGTCAATAATAATTGATTTCATGAGAGGTAGCTCCATCCCATGTAACAAAAATCCAGTCAGGACAATCAGAAAACTTACTAAAGGAGATGTTGGAAGGGATCCCAGGTGGGCTACAGCCAAGAATCATTGATCAGAAGCCTAGATGTAATGAGCAACATATCTGGATTCAACGAAAACTTGATTGCCTTTATATTGAAAAGCCAAAAATAACAAAAGCAGAGAAACTCTAAAAAACTTCACCACATAGAGGTGCTCTTACAAACCATATTAGAAACGGAGGTGAATTCACTTGTGAGAGCCTGTGTCATGGAATAAGAACCCCTAATGCATAAAGGACTGCGTTGCCCTGACAAGAGGATTCATGAGAACTATCCTGACCCAAATTTGTCGCATCATTTCCATGGAAAGAATGATCTCAATCACACACTTAAGGAGCATGGCAATTGATCCTCACCGTATGGTCTTTCTCTAACAATATTTCATCCTACAAAATATTAGTCCTATAAAAAACTAGGAATGATACAAAATATGGTCACGACTCGAAGAGCAATGTGCCTATTAGGGTAGCTTGTGTAGAGAGACACATACTTCTCGTCTCCCTATTGCTATTTGCACTAATTTTTTTCATGAAAAAGTTTACAGGGCAGCATAAAAACCCCTCCATAAAGGACACTGCCATAACTGCACAATATTCTTTTCTCTGTTTAATCAACATTAGTTTCATCACAAGGAAAAAAACCCCATTGATTTGATATCTTTTGTATGTTACATTTGCTTGCCCTTGGTGCAACTTGATGCAGTGTTACAGCAACATAAAATGGACCAGAGACTCGATTACTAGCATCGAAGTGAAAATTTTTACGCACTCAACTGTTAATCAGAAACTCTATTAGCTTCCAAACAACTTGACAAAACCTGAAACAGCTTGTAAAAAAGACATAAAAGAGAAGGAAAGGAGAACCAGGCAATATTGTATCTTTTTCATATAGATCAAATCTTAGAAGAAGAAAACATGATGTTTGTCAATGGTCTTGTATAGAACCTTGAACAAGAGAAATATTTTGCAGCCACAAACTGAAATGCTGAAAACTAAGGCAGATTAGTTCCAAGCTAAAAACCATCGCTAGTAGCAGACATTTTCCTGAAAGCCCTGTCATTCAATCACAGATGATTAGCTATGCAAAACTACAATTGCTACCCTAATACAGCAGATTTAGAGTTTCACAGTCATCTGCAACCAAATACTTCAAACAGAGGCTTGGGAAATAACATTAAGAACCACTCGTGTTCTTTTTTCGAATATGTAGAACCAAACATGTTTAAGTAAGGAAAACAATCGAACAAAACGCTTCCAAATCTAACAACAGGCATTCCACATCAAAGAAAAAACCCTTTCTGAAAAGCAGTCAACGATAAGTAATTGGGAACTACAAATGCATAAATGCGATTAAAAAACAGCACGTGTACAGACTATATTCTCTCAGTCATCAAAAACCAAATACTTCAATCAGAGGCTGAAGAAATAAGGTAAATAAAAGCTCATGTTTAATTAAAGAAAAGATGCACAAACTACTACTCTATCTAAACAGAAGCATTCAACTGCAAGCCAAAAGTCCTCAAAACTAGCCACATATTCATTGCAAGGGACCATTTTAAAATATGGTATTAAGCAATTTTGAGATTTGCAATTCAACTTACAGATAAAACGATCCCCACAGGCAATGGGCGATGATGTGGTTCCAAGGCGACATCCACTGGAGGAACATGAGGGAGAATCTGAAGGAAAAAATTATTATGGGGTCAACTTAATGTGTAAAAAAAAAAACAAAAAAAACAAGCATCAAATAACCGAAACCCCAAAACAATGCTACCACCTCCAAGAAAAAACAAAAAGAAAACAATAAAATTGAAAAGCCAACTTAGCAAGAAAACAACAAAAAACATTGAAAGCTAAAATACAAGATCATTGCACTATGCATGAGATGGAAGAATGACTATGGAGGAACCACAATGAGTCTTCCACCAGCTAGAACCTACACTTAGACCTAGATACAATTTTGTACCACATAAAGAGAAAAGGAAGATTCTCACATACCACATGACTTCCATGGCCGATCTTTGCGGAAAAATGAATCCATTATTCTTTTGATTGTTTAAAAATGAACCAATCAAAGATGGTACCGGACCAAAAAGGAAATATCTTGAGTTTCAATGAACAGACCATCAACTGGTAGTGCAAATACCACCCTTTTTTTTGCCATTCCAATGCATTTCCAAAACAGACTCGGCCGAGACTCGTTGAGACCCAGCAGACTAAACCTACCTGTCTTGAGCCAGGAGCCTTAACGAATCCTAACCCAAGTCCCAGGTTTCAAACACCGATATATAAGCATTGCCATTGAACACCTAGAGCTACAATGATCTACAACATTAAATATATACTCCCATCTAACCCCTACTGCTGTTCTATGTAATTCGTGAAATCAACTCTCAAAGGCTTGACAAAATTAAGGCTCATAATAAGTTAGAAGCAATACATATAGAAACCTGAGCAACCTATAATGCTTAAAGCATCCACATAGGAGAAAAAAAAAAATATAAGTGGCCATTAGAATAGGAAATCCCTTACGAAGGTGGAAGGGAACATTCAATGTTTTGTGGCCGCAGTCCCCCTCTAGGCCACTCCAAATAAGAAACACGAAAAACGCTTTAGGATGTAAGGGAAACAAAACTATGAATACCTAAACACTAGAGCAAGTTGACAATGTTGCCCAAGGTCTCCATCCCCAGATCTTACTTTTATAGGCCGAGTAAGAGTTTTAAATTCTCACAGAAGCAGGGAGATAAAGAAAAAAACAAAATTGCTACAGGTCATATCCCTATCAATCAGAACGATAATACTCTCCAGACAAAATTAGCCAAATCTAAATTGCTAGTCCAACACTATGAATTCTCCTTCAATTTTTTATAGCTTTTCCAATTTGGTGTCTAAGCTTTACTAATTGAGTTAATGCATACATCATGATAAAAATCAAATTAAGGCATATATCATGAACAACCAGTAAATTTTAACAAAGATTGTCCTCCTCTAATAGTGAGAAATCAAGAGGCACACCTTGCAAGGCAGCGTTGATAACTTATAATGATCACATATTTGCTTATAGACCACAAATGTAATTCATATATGCGCATTAGATAAGTTGTGCTCCATTGAGCAGGCCCGAAAACTAGATTTGGCCATCAAACCAGAGTTGCAGTTCCAAAGGAGGAGGATGCAATTGCAAGTAAAAAGAGGCAAAGTGTAATATATGAGCGAGGGAGACAACAATTATGATATCATGGCATAACTCTGTGGATAGTGGGGGGGGGGGAAGAAACTACAAGAACAGAATGGACATTTGCTAAGGATATTTCATAATTAATTCTATCAAGGGTATCCTTCAAGGAAAAGTACACAATGAAACCATTTATCTTTGGTACCAGGTGGTCGCAATTAATCTTGACCATTGGATGTGAAATTAGATGGCTGCATTTATTCCATTGACCAAGCTCAAACTTCAAAAGAAATTTGTCCAACTTTGTGACACACCCAAGCTTATCAGACTTAACATCGGATGGTTATAAGTAATTGTGACCAAAGGTAAATGGTCTCATTGTATACAATCCCGTCATTCTAAAATACTTTTAAGTCACTTACTGTTTTTATCGGGTCCTCATTTTCATTCCTTAATTGACATAGACATTGGAAACATAAAGTTTTTCATTTAGAATGTTTGAGATCTTCATAATTTCTAAATTTTACTTTACTGGTTTTTCATACATATCAGATGAGTGAATTCAGTGCAAGCACAATGTGAAATTTTGTATAAGAGGACCAGTCACCCACTAAACCTATTACCAAAAAATTAAAAAATGCAATATAATGCTTATTAAAATGGAATAAACAAGAGCTTCCAAAATCAACAGAAAGAACACAACAAAACCAAAAAACAAAATAGCGTACATAGACTACAATGACAACTAGATCATCAATTTATTTTCCATAAAAAGGATGGCAAGAAAGTGGATATATGAAATTATCTGTTGAATAAATAAAAAAAGTAGGCGTGAAATTACCGAGAGCTCGTTCTTGGACCTAATTGGCCCATTCACCTCTTCATCGCCGCTGCAAATATCATTTATTTCACCTTCTTCCATTTCTTCATTTCTTTTTCTCTTGCTATTATCATCTTCGTCAGCATCATCAGTACTAGAAGAGGAAGGAGACGAGACATCATCAGTGCTAGAAGATGAAGAAGACGAGGAAGAAGAAGTATCTGAAGAATCATCCCTGCTCGATTCCTCAGACTCGCTATCTGCGCATTTATCATCTATATGCTCTGGTTTTAGGGAGACCGAATCCTTATTAATCAATACACCAGCATTTTCCAGTCCATTTTCAGGAAACCCATCTGTCTCTTCTTTTCTCGAAACAGTACAGGAATCATTAGCTTCAATTCCTGGAACCCCAGAATCGTTGGACCCTATTTCTCTATTGCAACACAAACTAACCTTCTCCATATCCTTCTCCAAATCTCCAAAAATGGGTTCGACTAAATTTAGCTGCTCTGCATCAGTTACCACTTCCTTAGACCCCCCAACTTCAAACTTAGCCAAACCAGGCTCCTTCAAATTCGATTCTTCCCCATTTCTAGTCGGGGTTTCTTCAGTGGACATGTCTGAGATATCTGGTTCGAGAATCCACTCTTTTATGACGTCGAAATCCGCGAAAGGCTCTGTAAAAGTGGGAGAAGAAGGGTTTAAGCATGTGGGTTCTGGTAAACAGAGCTTGGCTTGGTCTTTCCTAAGGTCTCTAATGGCGGAGTCGAGGCCCACCATTGTCAGAGAGGTGAGCGGAACAGTTCATGGCAGGCATTCTAGAGCGAGAAAACAAGTGATTATATTCGGAAAGTTGCGCTGAAATTAAGGAGGGAGACGCTTAAACCCTAAAAAGTTTCCAGGGTTCGAGTTAGGGTTTATACCCCATATCCGATGAAGGAGCCACGATACAATTTTGAACTGTAAGAAAACTAGCGAAGGACACGTGTTCGGCACGTACGAGAGTGCAGTCATAGGAACAATTTCTATTTATTTTTTATTTTTTAACTAGTAACTTGTCCATTAGAGGCAGGGTATTATTATTTTTTAAAATAAAAAGTTTGAGTTTTGATTGTGTATTTTTAACTAAGGGAATAAACACTTAATTCATCTAGTGTTTGAAAGTTTGATGATCGGAATTAGCATTATTTTTAATTTCTAAGGAACCATTCGATTACGTCCCAACTGGCCTAGATTTTATTTGTGATTTTTATAAAAAAAAAAAAAAAAAAAGATCAATGGGAGGCCTACTGATCCATGTCGGTCCCCTATATTGGCAGTTCACCTGGCTATTCCGGGTTTCAATTGCTTTGCCCTGGTATCCTTTAAGAAATAAGAATAAAATTTTGTTAAAGAAAATTAAAAAAATAACGTCATAAAGTTATAATTAATAACAGAAAAAATATCTCAGTACATCCTAATTTGGTGTATCATTATCCAATAGACCTATAAGTTTGAAAACTATTAGATTGAATTAGCTTTTCAAAAAATCTATCTTTTAACCCCCAAACCCCCTCTCTATCATGGTTCCATCGTTTTTGTGGATTCTGTCTCATGTATGAAGCTAATATAATTCTTAAAAATATTAATATGAAAAATTACAATCTTGGAATATGAGTATTTGCAAATTCAGAAGGGCAATTTGCGTACGGATGCATCCGTAGGTGTAGAGATAAGGTGCACCTTCAAATTTTATCATGGTATATAATTTTGATGTAAAATGCTTTTAGGATTATCTCAAAATCTATTTTTATATCTAATTATAAAGTTTTAAATTTAAAAAAAGTTAAAATCAAGTAGATCCATAAACATATGAAAATCTTGAAAATGGATGGTGTAGATAACATGTTGTAAAAGGCACTATTTCTGAGATTTGAAATCTTTTTATTTTTCATAGTCATACATCTCCATGTCGAGATGATCAATCAAAGGGTTTTTCAACATTAAAACTACCTTTTCCGTTGGATTTTTTAGGGGCATCCGTAGTTCTACATTATAGGGTAGCACCATTATATAAACTTTTTGAATCTCATAAATGTGTGTTTATGGCTCCTTCATTAGAGGGGCTTATTCTTGCTGGTATGATCCTTGGGCCATGGAATTCTTTAACACCATGAGGAAAAAGGGGCGGGTCTCAAATGTGGAGATCACCTTTCGTATTATTAGATCTCTTGGTAAGATAGCTAGAACAAATGAGGTTCTCTAGCTCTTTGATGAACTTTGGAGAGGTGGTTTTCTTCCAATAACTAGTGTGATCAATGATATGCTCACTTGTTACCGGAGAAGGGAGACTGAATGATGCAATGCAATTGTTTGAGAGAATTACTGGATGGAACTTGTGGAAAACCTTACGTCTCAGATTATGGCATAAAATTACAGGGCTTTGTGGAAATGGGGACTTGTCAAAAGGCTTTTTGATTTTTTCGAGAAATGCTTAATAACAAAGTGCCTCATAGTGGCCCATTATATGGAATCATCATCAGGGGGCTCTTTACAACAAAGCCAATGATATAACAACACCATGTTGGATATAGTGATATCTAAAATCAACCACATAAGAAAATGTCATATAGACCCGATTTTTATGTGGGCAAGTCCCTGCATATGTAGAAATGCAGGCCTCTTAATAAATCTTTGTGTGAGATGGATTTTAAGACTTAATTTTTAAGGACATGTAATCTCTAACATGGAGATCATGAATATAAATAAATAAATAAATAAATAAATAAATTTTAAAAACTAAAAGTAATAATCTAGTAAGAAAACATTTGGACCGTTAGTTTCCATTGTTTTTAGATAGAACACCTACTTGCATCCATCTTTAAGATCGATGCTTTACACTTTCTGGAACACATATGGTCTAGCCTGCATGAAACAATTTTTCATCTCATATGATGTGGGATTAGGATTGATAAGTTTCCTAAAGAAAATGGAAATCTAAAAAGATTAGGATTCTTGGGTATATCTCTTGGTTCTTGATATATATGTATTATCTATGGGAAGTTTCCTATTTATTGTGAATTCCTAATTTTATATATACGGAATGAAAGATAAAAGAATATGTGTGCCCTATTTGTGTCACCACATGAGAAACGTCTCTTCCTCTAGGGAGAATGGTAGGGGCCTCTTGTACATGAGAAACAAGGCCTCACCCTTAGGCAGAAATGAGCTTCCTAAGGAGAGAAACACCACGATGTGCCTCTTGTGGATTGAGAGGTTGGTTTATTGTAGAGAAGTAATTCCCATAGATATTCTGGGTGGTTTTCTCTTTTAGTGAAAAATCTCAAGGCTTTATTCTTGAATGGTGGTTTAGTTGTGGAATAGAGATGAGATATTAGTGGGTGGTATTGGTCGGGAGAATAGATTTGAAAGGGTTTGTTTGACCCAGTTTTGTCGAGTCTTAAAGACGTAACTCTATGTCCCAAAATATATGATGCAACTTAGATTAGTATAATAAATTTCAGATTGTCGTGCCTGTAGATGTAGCCCTTTTGGGGTAAACCATGTAAATCTTTGTGCTTTTGTGGTGTTTGTTTTATGTTTTATTTCCCGTATTATGGCTCGTACTCTCACCTATTTTGTTTTTAATTGGATAAGTACACGATCTTGATGGAATCCAACTTTTGTGATTCCTATTTCTGCATCTAAGACGACTATTAAATCCTAAAACACCAAACTCTCATTTCATCCAACTCCCATATTGATGAAAAAAAGTTGGGTGATCATAAATTCCATTACAAGTATCCCAGATACATAAAAACACCATGAAAAAAATACCAAAGAAGAGAGGATAACAGAGATAAGGGAAAAGAAGAGAGAAATTTTAGGGATGGATTCAGGAGTACATCAACAAGGTAAATCAAACCAGTTAAGGTGAGCTTTTGCTGCTTATATGTTTGTTTAGGCATCTCTCCAAAAGCCAACTCTATTCTAATAAGAAAAGAAGCATACTTCTCCACCATGACAAAAGAGGAAGGAGCTCATTCCCCTCCTCTAGACTGTACATTATTGCCACCAAGCGCTCTAGTAGAGGTGGTCAAGGACCTTTTCATGTATATTTATAGCTTGAAATCATATTAAATAATCTAGTTCATAGAATGGAGAAAGAAGTTTGAAAGAGAGCATTAAAGCTAAGGTGGTAAAAACCCAAAAGTTTTGGCTGAAAGAGAGAAGATTGAGGGAGACCATTAGGGCTAGCATGAGAAATGATCCTAGAAATTTAAAGAGAGAAGGTTGAGAAAGGGTATAGAGAGAAGATTGAGGAAGAGAGAGAGAGAGAGAGAGAGAGAGAAAGAGAGAGAGAATTGCAATAAATTTTATTTTTATTTTTTTTTTTTCAAAAAGTGATGGGCAATCGAGAGACTTAGCTTTTATTTTTGGCCCCTTCAAAATTACCACTATCTGGATGAACACAGTGAAAGTGGCTGCAGCCCAATTTGAACAATTAGGGCTACAACCCTATGGAAACCGGGGTAGAGCCATCGGATTAAAAAGACTGCAAGGTAATATGCGATGGATAGTTAGAGATGGTCATTTGGTTGACTTTTGGGTTGACCCATGACTATCAAAGAGTTCTTTATAGGAGAAATACTGTGGAGGTTCACAAGACACTTGACAACCTGGCTAAGCCTAAGGCCTTAGATTATATACAAGGCACACTCCAAAGGTGGCCCCTTCCTACACCTACCTCATTCCCTCTCATTTGTGCATGGGAGGAAGTTTATTCTCATGTACTACCGCTCCATCCCTCTCAAGTTCAGTTGGTATGGATACACTTAGTTAATGGCAAGTTCTCAGTTGTCGGTGCTTGGGATCACATCAGGCAAAGTGCCCTGATTTAGCCAGCCTTTAAGGTCATTTGGAAAACCCCATCCCATCCTAGAGGGAAGTGGTTGTCCTCGCTTGCCTAGCACTTTTGACTCCCTACCATGACCCTCCTCCAATCTAGGGGCCTTCATTTGGTTACCATATGCCCCTCTTACCTTCAAGAGGAGGAATCCACTAACCATATTATCATGCAGTATGTGTTTTTATAGGTGTTATGGCAGTCCATTCTCTAGATGTTTGGCAAAAGTATATCACTCAAGCAAACCCCGACCATCATGATGACAAAAAAGCTCAAATTTCGTTTCAAATCCAAGGAGATGAAGAATATATGGCTCTCCATCTTCTCCACTATTGTTTGGTTCATATGGGCAGAGCACAATGCACGTATCTACGACGATCGAAGGTCTTCGAGGGAGCAAGTACTGGGGTGCATCACCCACTTCATCAACAAGCTTGCGGAGGGGAAGGGATGGTCCTTTCACCCATCAGAAGTCCACATCTCCACGAACCTCAGGCTTAGTTGGCATGTTGAACCCCCATCCACCTTGATCCAGATTGCATGGTCCTTCCCTCCCACGGAGCACTTGAAGCTTAACACTGATGGCTCTTTCCTTGGTAATCCAGGCGTTGGGGGTTGTGGGGGGATCATCAGAAATGGCACGGGAGGTTTTGTAACAGCATTTTCCACCCCTCTCGGTCCCACGTCTAACAATGCAGCAGAATTTCATGCTTTGGATTGGGGCATCTTTTTGGCACAGGAGTTGGACTGCCGCCCACTCATCATTGGGAATGACTCTAAATTGTTAGTGGAATCGCTCGCCCACCATATCTCAGCCCCTTGGAGGCTGTGCACCCTGTTGCCCAATTGCAAGACAAAGCTCTTTTCCTTCATTGATCACCATTGGAATATATCACATGCCTTCCGGGAGGTGAATATGGTCGTTGATTGCCTGACAAAGAGTGGAGCATCTATGGCTCAAGCCATGGTATGGCAGGCCTATCCCCCAGATTTTGTAATTCCTTTCATTTTGCCGGACCTTGCCAACATCCTCCTAGAAAGGGCTGTGTAGTGCATGTAT